TTATGTGGAATGTCTCACACCAGGATATTGCATGATATGAAGAATTCTTAGAAAAATTAATTTATTTCATGTCACTCATCAGAAGCTTACACCACAGAAGCACTGATAACTCAAGGAAGCATTAAAATCCTGGATTAGAGTATTGTGTGGTATCGATGCCCACATATATTATATATTAGCACTGACATAGGAATGTACTTTGTAATTGTTGGCATTATTATTATCATTCAGGACAGCAGGAGTGGTCAGTAGAGGAAAGATTAAAATATATCTTATTCAGGACAAGACTTTTTCCCCTTCCCTGTAAATCCTCTCCTGTGACATGGCAGAGGAACTTGAAAAGAGTTCTGTGCCAGAGCAAGAGCCCATGTCTCATTCACCCTCTTCTCTCTTCCTGGATGAGATGGGAAGGCAGTGGACAGAGTGAAGCAGATGACGTTTAAATTGGGCAAGAGAGTAGAGATTTAAATGAGGTTGGATTGCAGATTCTATGTAATCTCTAAACATTATCTGAGAATTATAGAATCTATTTGAAAACTTGTGATGGATTTAATTTCTGAGGGAAGAGAAGATGAGAAAAGCATAATCCCATAGTCCCTCAGTAGTCTTTCAAAATAACACTGTGTTCTCTGTGTACTTGCCAAGTGTAAATTGTTCAATGCATGAGTTACATATGTAAACTTGGAGCTTTACTACTTCTTTGGTTCCTGCTGAATGCATGAGTCATTCAAAGTTTTTCTGAAATGCATGATAGATTTTTTTTCTGGTACAGGAGATCGAATTTAAGACCTTGTGTTTGCCAGGCAGGCACGTATACCACTGAGATAGATTCCTGGCTACGATGGAGTTTTAATACAGATCACAGTTTTAGCCACACAATTTAGCCCTTCTCCATATGAGTTGCTTAGTGTGAGCATGGAAATCCACATAGTTCTAGCACAGAGGAAAGCTATGACACAGCCCACATTACACTGAGAAATAAGAACCAGCAGACTAGTGTGTGATGATAAAGGAAATGTCAACATATGCACAAAATGTTCAGGACTGACTCTCAGAAGAATCAGCAGCTGATAGCTAAATCAGTGTCACAGAATTGATACCTACTTTCATTCTGGGAAAAAAATCATAGATTCCATTTTTTTGTTGAATTAGGCAGGTTGGTGTACAGGACTCTCATTTTGATCATCTTGTGGATGTTACTAATGCTGCCCACAAATTTTGAATCAGAGTAAGACTGAAATTTTACTGAACTGGGGAAGGGCCTGAAAAGAATCTTTAATCAATAAAAATTACCATGGTTTATGAAAGTGGATGGACAGCTCCACATCATTAAGGAACTCTGGGGGACATGCCACCTACCTGCTGCAGTTCTCATGGCAATTCTGTCATTGTACAGATAAAGCAGGCGGAAGGGGACCTCAGAAAATTCTTTTGGAAAAGAATGGCATGTGATTTGGAGAAGTAAAGGCAGGGTCTCCCTGGCAAGTGCAAGGGCCTGAGTTCAATCCCCGGTTCCACCCCCCACCAAAAAAGGCAGGGTCTAGCAGTAGTTAGAGAAGAGAGACCCCAGTGAATACAAGAGATATAAGGTTATGCATATGAAAAGGTCCTCACTGTAAGATGTGAAAGGAGAGGAGGATTCAACAGCATGAGCATGAACAAGCTCCAGAGAGAACCTGGATGCTGTGCCTGGGAGGAGGTAAGATGCTGGAAAGTAAGCACAGAGAAACGAAGTTGATCCAAGAGTGGCAGGTCATTTCTAGTCTATTAAGAGAATCAGGGGTGCCCTTACTCATTGGGCTTCTGTGTGTTTCCTTATAAAAATTTCTCAGTATTATACACATGACAGCTATGATAAGCATACTACTAATTTCTATTGGTTTATTGAAAGGAGCAGCTAGTGCTTACATTGTTGGATCAATTTTGCGTGCCTATATCTTGTAATCTGAGCAACAGCTTTGAAGATAACAATATGCAATACACTAACCATTGATGATTTCCTATCATGTTATTTTGAAACTATTCTCTTTAAAATAAAAAAAATTAGAAAAACAGACCAAAAACAATAAATACCAATGACCTGGAAAACACATTTCTTTATTCACCTTTTTTTTTCTCCTTTTCCCCTCTTTTCTATTTATTTATTTATTTATTTATTTATTTATTTGATACAGGGTCTCAGTATGCATTTCAGACTTGTAGTGATCGCCCTGTGTCAGTCTCCCTAGTGGTGGGATTATATGTGTGTGCCACCACACCCAGTTTTGGTGGCCAGCACGGTGCACCTGGGGTTCTGGGACCAGCATAGCATGCCATACCAGGGATTGAACCAGGGTCCTTGTACTTGCCAGGCATGTGGTTAGACCACCAAAATATCTCCCCAACCCTTTCTCCCTTTTTATTAAGGGGATGGAGAAGGTACAAAAGAAATTTGAATTTATAAACAAAGGATTTTATGACAAAACTAGATTTAAAAGAAATTCTGACAGTCACCAGTATTTGTAAGTTCTTTAAAATTGTCTGGTAAATTCATTAACACTTTTTCCCTCTTCTGAAACATCCATTTACTCTATTGCAAGACAGCTGCCTGGTAATAAAACAAAACAAAATAAAAACCCACCGTTTGTGCCCAACTTTAGAACATCTGGTAGCAATTAAGTAAGGCTACTTACTGGCTGAAACTCATTTATTCTTTCCCTTTTTTATTAAAAACCAAAACAAAATACTTTTAATCAATTTAAAGTGTAATAAATCCATCATGAAATGCCAGGGCACAGGGTATCTGTTTTGTTGATAAGGACTCTCTCTATCTAGGGTGTTTGAAGCGCTGAATGATAGAGGGGATCATGAGTCCCTTCAGATCCCCACATGCCTGACAATCATCTCCAACACTGGGGGAAGATAGTAGTGTGGCTACCAAACATGAGAAAGAGCATATGACACAGTAGTGCATCCAATCATCTCTATCAATTGTGCTATAAAATTCAAAATTATTTTTTTCTGTAATAGTGATAACTTTTTTCTTTTTGAAGTGTGGCAAGTAAATCTGTACTCAACACCACAATAATGAATATTCAGGTCATTAAGAGAGTGGGAGAATGTTGTCATTCACAACGGGAGACTTCAATGTTACAGAATCAGATTTCTCCCTACTGCCTATCCTCGGGGATGCTACATATATTCAAGTTTCAAATTAGAGACTGGAAGTCCCAGCCCCTGTGGTTATTCCAAAGGAAGGATAATGAAGGCAGTGGAGACCTTGGTAAAACGGACTGGCTAGTGGTAGAGGAAGGACAGGACCACAGATTCAGCCCTACACCTTGAAGACTGCCTAAACACTGACAGAACTCTGGACCTCACTGTCTGACGAAGAATCTCATCAATCCCATTGAAGATTGGAAATACAAACATCTGTGCTACTCTCCTGAATCCCTGAGTCTATTTCAGTGGTCCCGGCTTCTCCTGGACAATGGTTATTATGAGGATCTTGGGCTGTCCTGTGGGTCTCTGCCATCTGCTAATAAGTGCTTTCATCACAAAGAGAAGGCGAATGGTCAAATACCCCGCCTCCTGGTGAGTTTCAATGGCAGCTTGAGCCACTGGGGTTGTGACTGGAAGGGAAATGCAACTTCCTCTTTATAGGGAGAGTTTCCAAGAGCTTTTCTGGCTCATTTTGATGACCAGCAACAAATGCAAATGACTCAGAAAGAAGTATATCACATTTCTCAAACAATGCCTAGGGATTTGGGCAGACACATGGAAGTGGTTTGAGCTAATCCTGATATTCTGTTGTCCTTTAAACCCTAGAAATATCATTAGGCATAATCCTAAGCACTAGATCAGCTCTTTCCAATTTCCAGTTTCCCTGCTGGGCTGAATAAATACACAGATGGAGTAAAATCTTCCAAGTGAAACATGGGCTGTGACAGAGGATGTCCTTGACCACAGAACACAAGGGAAGTACAGCTCTGGTTGAAGCAAAAGAAGGCAGAGTCTAGGGTACGAACAGCTCCAGAATGGCAAAAGCAGGCACCATTGCTTGAAGCCCTACACCTCTAACCAGCCTTCCTGCAGGCCACAGGAAAGAGAGCTAAAAGCAGAAATGAAGAAAGCACACAACATATCCAAGTTGTAGGAGATCTGTGGAGAATAAGACCATGATTGTTTAAAATGCTTCAGATTGCTTTTTCATAAGTCTGGCCTCACTTCTCTGAAATACTGGTCTTAGAAATGCCCCGTGGTTGGGAGGTAGTTCCCCTGGGGATGGCTTTCTGAGGCGTTGAGCAAGTCTAACTAGTAGGAGTATGTCAAGGAGAGGAAAAGAAAGTGGCAGGTGTCTCATGTAGTTCAGAGGTCTTATTGGATTGCATGTAAGATCCCTTCCTTAGGTCTGCTTGCAGAAATTTGGGGAACAGCAGGATGTAAGTTCCCTGAAGACTCAGTGAGACTTAGTGATGGCCAATCAGAAAGACAGATGAGGGATTGAGCAAAGAGGTTTTGGAGACTCTTATGAATTAAGGCTGGGCCTGACACTATCCAGAAAATTTCCAATTCTAGACATGTTTTGAATTTATCACACACTGTAGCTCTTCTAAGTTTTCTTTTCCAGGTTTTGTCTAAACTCCTACTTCTTCACTAGATTCCCCAGCCCTGCAACACTAAGATCTTATGTCTGGGTAGATCAAGGGGTTGTCAGTGCAGATCAAAAAAGAGCAAGATTCTAGACCCCAGATTTAGTTTTTGTACTGTATACTGTATCAAAGTTCTTTGATGACACTTTAGCTACTACTATAAATATATCCCTATCCAGGACGGTTTCTAATCTCACATCTAGGTTCCATTTCCCCTCTTTCCTTTTCTAAAATTGACCTTCCTACAATACCGTTGGCAGGCCCATTGACTAGTCAAAGCATTGCTTGTTGCAGCCTACATGACCATTGTCACCTACTGAGATGACTGCAGTTTGTAAGGCCTCTGTTGCTGCATGTCATCCTTTCCACTCTTACTTTTTTCTATGCTAATGTTGCTGATTGATTCCATCCTTCACCCCAGGATGTTGCTTTCTTATGCAGCCTGTCTCATATCTTAAAGCTCTTTCTACCACCTTAAGATACCATTGTGTTTTCAGGATTACAGATTTCTTTATTGGTGTGGTCCACTGGTTAATGGAGTTGGGTAGGTTCTCACTTGGACTAGAACAGGGTGGAGAGATGAGGTTTCTGCATTTACTGATGTGGCAATTGTGCTCTTAGCCTTCAAGTTTATGCCCACAGGATAAATTCACTTCTGTGTAGAGTAGACATAGCCATTTCACTCAGTTCCCCTCCCTCTCAGTCATAGCACTACTTCCATAACCATTTCTTTTCTTACTATGAGTCACTTCTGAAGGTTCCGACACTAAATGGGAATTGCTAACCAATCTTTCCTCCTTGCTATGTTGAAGAAAGGAGAAAGGTAGAGAGATGAAGAGTTTGGATATATATTTTATAGAATTCCTTTTCAGGATCAAAGTCTTAGACTAGACAGATTGATTAATTAAGGAAAAAAAAGTTTTAAATTTCATATTTGGAATACTAAAAGGAAAAAACCTCCAGCTATCCTGCACCCTGACATCCCCTGGTTACAACATGTGTGAACATAACAGAATGAATGGTTGGGGAGATAGCAGAATTCAATGAGCAAGGTTTTTTTCCTTTGATTTTGTGTATCTTGAAATAGATCCAGAAGTTTCTTTAGGCCCCATGAGGGATAAAGAGAGAGCTGAATCAGGATTCAGCAGGCCTGCTTTAGGGCCATAACAGGTACAGACAGGGTGACCTCATGGCTGAGGTTGTAGAGCAGACTTTAGACAGAGGCTTGGTGACAGATTTGGCTGAGATACAAAGGACTATGATGCACCGGAAGGGACTTGAAGGGGCTGAGTCAGTGCGAGAGGTCCTTTGGGGCCACAAATTCATGCTCATATGTCAAGATGCCCCAACTACGCCAAAGATGAAATCACAAGTTCCCCAGCTGCAGATGCCACCAGCAACCAGGGGAATTGAGAGGACATCATGGCATCAGGACAAATCCTATTCTCCCTGCCCTCTAGGGAAGGAAGAGGGGAGAAAAAGTTTTGCCATAGGATTATCTCTGAGCAATAAAGAAATTACTAGAAATGAGATTCTCTTATTGATCTTTCCCTCTGTCCAGTGGAAGTGCAGGTTAAAACAGATCTGGTAAGTTTATGGCTACTTCTTGAGTTCAGATGTAACTACCCTTTTTCCTTCCACAAATACATTATGTGTATAATATATATTTAGAAATTCATACAGATAAATATTCTTTAAGTAGTTTTGACATAATAAGGCAAAGATGGCAAGACTAGATTAATTCTGGATAATTCAAAGGCTTCAGAAATTTTGAGTATTTCATTCCCTCCGGAGCTTTTCCATATTCATCTATTTTGTTTCATTTATGCACTACTGTTTGTTGTATGCATCTTGCTCAAAACTTCAAACCCATTTGTATACCCCACTATTGTAGTCAAAACTTAAAAATCTTATTTTAATTCCTACAGATCCGTGCATATCTCCTTTTCTGTATGTACAAATCGCTGCTGCTGTTCAGAGCATTGTGACCTTTGCAGACTCCTAGAAAAGTCTCCTGACTGTTTGCCATGCCTCCTGTCTCCTTAACACTCTCTCACCTTTTAACTTCTTGAATGATATGTCTGACCATAGCCCTTGTTTCCTCTAATAATTTCATTATTCTTTTTTTTAAATTTCTTTCTTTCTTTTTTTTTTTTTTTTTTTTTTTTTTTTTGCAGAACATTGAACTCAGGCCCTTGAGCCGTCTCCCTGCCCCTAATTTCATTATTCTTGATCATGGAATAATATATCAAATCCACCCAGCTCTGTAAGCTGACCTGAGCCCACATTTCAATCCTTTCCTCCCACCTTCTACCCCACTGACATCTCCATCATGTTCTAGCCAACAGACTTGCTGCTTTTTGAATGCACTTTAACT